GGAGGAAGAGTCTCTCCTCTCCCAGGCCCCTGAAGGGTCTTGGCAAACCGTTATCGCCTGAGAAGCAGCTGCTGGAGAAACCTTAGCATCTGACTCACCGGGCTCCCTCCTCCTCACAGCCCCCTCCCTCTGGGCCCCATACCAGACCTCTGAGAGACCCTAAGGGAAGATCCGGGAGGAAGCGCCCCCAGCTGGGCCAGCCCTCCCTCTGTGGAAGGTGTGGCTGGCAGAGCCCTGGCTTGTCTGGTTGGGTGGCTGGGAGGCTTTTGACCCTGTCAATGGCTTCTATCTGGGATCACAGTTATTCTCAGGAACTTGCTCAGCTGAAGCCTCTGACATCCTGATTCTGCCTCTGCATTAATGGCCAATTGATAGCCTCTTGGGTACAATGCCCTGTCCCTCTTTCACCAGTATTTTTGAACATCTGTCATGAGCCAGGGCTGGGACCCAGCAGGTGAACAAGGTACAGACCCTGTCCCAGAGAGTTGATAGTCTGGCAAACAAGCAATTACCACATAGGGAAATATCTGCCGCGGTTGGGCAAGGATTGGGCAGTGAAGAATGTTGAATGACTCTCTGCTCAGTAGCTCCCTGGGCCTCAATTTCCCTGCCTGTCAAATGCAACTTCCTTATCTTGTTGGGTAACTATGATGATTAAATGAAATGATACATATGAGAACATTTTAGAAGGTTAAAATCACAACAAAAACATAGGATGCCCAGGCTCGGCGCCTGTGGCTCAAGTGGCTAAGGCACCAGCCACATACACCTAAGGTGGTGGGTTCGAATCCAGCCCGGGCCCACCAAACAACAATGATGGCTGCAACCAAAAAATAGCCAGGCATTGTGGTGGGCGCCTGTGGTCCCAGCTACTTGGCTGAGGCAGGAGACTCGCTTGAGCCCATGAGTTGGAGGTTGCTGTGAGCTGTGATGCTACAGCACTCTACCCAGGGGGATAGCTTGAGGCTCTGTCTCAAAAAATAAAAAAAAAAAAAAAATAGGATGCCAGCTACTCCAGAGGCTGAGGCAAGAGAATCACCTAAGCCCAGGAGTTGCTGTGAGCTGTGACACCACAACACTCTACTGAGGGCAATAAAGTGAGACTCTGTCTCTAAAAAAAAAAAAGTAAGATGATGGTTATGATTTATGGCACATTGGGAAATGGGAACAGTACCCTTGTCAATGGGGTCTCTGAGCTCATTTTGTCCTGGTTCTCTGATCAGGCTTTGGAGGGAAGGCCAAACCACCTCCCCGCATTGTTTCCAAGCTCAGCTCAGGCCCAGAGCTTAGAGGCAGCAATTTTCTTTCTTCCTTTCTTTCTTTCTTTCTTTCTTTCTTTCTTTTTTTCTTTCTTTTTTTCAAGAGACAAAGTTTCACTTTATTGCCCTTGGTAGAGTGTCATAGAGTCACAACTCACAGCAACCTCCAGCTCCTGGACTCAGGCAATTCTCTTGCCTCAGTCTCCCGAGCAGCTGGGAACTACAGGTGCCTGCCATAACACCCGGCTATTTTTTGTTGCAATTTGGCCGGGATTGGGCTCAAACCCACCATCCTCTGTATATGGGACCAGTGCCCTACACACTGAGCCACAGGTGCGCCCAGAGGCAGCAGTTTTCATAATAACAATAGCTAACAATAATCAGGCACTCACTATACTCACTGTTGTAAGTGTTTTCTATGTGCAGTATTTACTCATTTTATCCTCATAAGCCTATGAGGTGAGTACTGTGCATCTAAGAAATATTCAATTCACATGACCATACTGTGAGTTAGGAACTATTACTTCCCCCTTACAAATGAAGAAACTGAGGCACAGACAAGTTATGTAACTCAGCAAGTAATAAAGCTAGGAGTCAAAAACAATCTATGTAACTCCAGAACTTGTGCTTCTTCCCTGTTCCCTGTGACAGACTCACATGGCCCCAAACCTTATTCTCAGATGGAAGGCTTCTCTGCTCACCCTGTCTACACTGAGACAGGCTCCTAAGATTCCAGGCCAGAAAAAGCCAAGCCCTTAATCACTCACCAGTGGTGGTTCCCATCCCACCCCATCTCTTGCAATTCACCAGCAAATTCACAATGAATGAACATTGATAACATTTTACATGCTTATAATTTCTCAGAGGGAAAAAATAACTTACAAGCACCTACTATATGTCAACTACTGGAGTGCTTTATTAATGATAAGCAGTAGTGTTTGTTGAATAATTATTATGTGGCTCGGCGCCTATAGCTCAACCGGCTAAGGTGCCAGCCACGTACACCTAAGGTGGC